AAAACAAGTCTAATAATTTGAACATTCTGTAGGCATTTATAGTTATTCACTTGCCTCCTTGCAGCAAACAGCAAAAAGCCTGATTAGCACAAGGAAAAAAAAAATCTGCCTCTGCCTCCCAGCAATTTGCCTCTTGGAGCAAATAGCAAGTTTCATTTTCAATTTCAGCTTGGGCGCCCGATCATCAGTTGTTTCAGGCTGCAGGGATTGCTATAGCCCATTGCAGCCTCCGGAAGTCCCATTTTCCCCATTTGCTGCAAGAAGGTAAATTGCTGGGAGGCAGAGGCCAAAAGGTTGGGGTTACATTCAGTGTATAAGACGCACCCAAATTTTAACCCTCTTTTAGAGGGGAAAAAGGTGTGTCTTATACTCCGAAAAATACAGTACTTATACTGCTTTGAGGAAAGAATAATTTCTCATTGAGATGGGCAGCCGTAGATATTGAACAAATAAATAATAAATAAATACCATATTTTTCAGAGTATATATATATTGATATATCACAGTAATGATGTATTTTATTGTCTCTCATGTAATTTACAAACTTAAAAATGGGAGGTGAAAGGGCCTCATAAATGGAATAGCCTAGGGCCTCTTTTAATCTAAATCCGGCCCTGTATGGAGGCCCTTGCTGAATGAAGATTGAGTGACTGTTAAAAGTGTATTAACACAACACATGTTCTTTTGCTCTTTTTGAAGGCACTCATCGTGGCTGGGCTGCTGTGCAGATGCGTTTACTTCACGAGTTAGTGTATGCCTCCAGGAGAATGGGAAACCCAGCACTTTCCGTCCGGCACTTATCTTTTCTTTTACAAACCATGCTAGATTTTCTTTCTGACCAAGGTATTCATTTTATTTAAAAAATAGTGCAATTTTTCATGTATATTATATATGATAATGGAGTAGTGCAGTGGCCTAGAGGTAGAGCTCTCGCCTCACAATCAGGAGGCTTTGAGTTCAATCCTAGGCAGAGGAAGATATTTCTCTCTCTTTTGTCTCAATGGGAATATTTCTGCTGGAACTCCGCATTGGCAACAGGAAGGGCATCCAGCCAGTCTGCAGAATGTTTAGTATGATTTTGGTTTTCTGTTGCTGGGTGGGAGACATGTTCTGCTCTTAACTTTCCTCACCAAATTGCAAACTTCTTTTGAATGTTTCTTATTTTCAAAAGGGAACATCCTTCGCCTCTTTTCCAATTGTTACTCTGTCCTGTCTCAAAGAGACAGTGCAGGGTATTGCGTTGTCAGTACTACACCAGTTTAACTTAATTTAAAACTTTTCAATTCCCTTCCTGCAATAATAGTTTATGTCTAGCTATTTTAATGAGGAAAAAAATGGCAGGTTGTATGTTTTAATTTGCTACTAGATCTTTTTTTATATACTGTCACAGGTCTTGTGTGATAAATGGTCTAAAAATCAAATGGGTCAATAAAATCTAAAATTATGCAAAACTTTATTTTTGTATCAGTGGTTTTGTATCTGCTTTCAAGGTCCAGAAATTAAGGGGATTTCAGGTCCAAAATAGAACTTTCAGGTAATTGGGCAAAGATTGGAGACAAAGTAGAACAGCTGATATGCAAATCTGTAGAGTTTTCTGTTTCAACTCTTTTTTGTCTTTTCATAGTTTTGCTCTCTTAACAATTTTGTGATATCAAGTTGCATAAATATATAGAGAGTAATATGCTACTTGTTAAAAAAATGTTTGTTCCATGTCCTATATGGCTACAAGTAAAACTGGATCCAAACATCTCCCAAAATTATTTAATAATCTGTCAAGATTATAATTTGTCCCGGAGCTCCTCAGAGTACTAAGGTGGACCCCAGGATCAGCACCCAGGGAGAGGAGACATAGAGGAAGTGCATGGGGAGGGTTACTGTTTCCCAGCGCTGACTGACTGGTCAGCGTAAAATATCAGCAAACAATTATGAGAAAGCCTTTTGAGATAAGAAGCTGACATGTGGCAAGAAAGGTCAGAGAATGGGGCAAAACTCACTTAACAACTGTCTTGCTTACCAATGAAAATTGTGTGTCTTCTGTTCCTACCTCGTTTGTAAGATGGAAGCAGCCTCTCCTAATCCAATACTCTAGTAATGAGAATTCTTTTTTCCTTTTTAGAAAAGAAAGATGTAACACAAAGCCTAGAAAACTATACATCAAAGTGCCCAGGAACAATGGACTTCATTACCCTTCCAGATGGCTTAAAGCTCCCGCCTGTGCCATTCACCAAACTTCCCATTGTAAGGTAAACTACCTTTTGTTTCCTACAGTCCTGTGAGAGGCTAGAGTAATGAATGCTCTGTCACATAGGCCTCCTTCGGGATGGCACTAGAGGAGAATGTTAGACTGAGGGCAGTGAACTGTTTCAGGAGGAAATCGCTTGGGCAAAAAGCCCGTGCCTTTCAGAAGAGATTGAAACTTCTGTAAGCAGTAATTGAAACCGCCTCTTGTATTCAGGTGCCATTATGGGGTGCTGCCCTGTCACCACCGCCTTCTTAACTCAAGTGTTTTCTTAAGGGAGACATTGAGAAATACAAGCTCCTTTAAAGAACAGCCAATGGGTGTTGGTAGGATACCTATGCCAGTTTTGAAGCACCTTTATGAATTTTATGTCATTGTTTTTGAAATTCTATTCTATTCTGTTATTCTATTCTATTCCATTCCATTCCACGCCACCCCACGCCGCCCCACGCCACGCCACCCCACCCCATCCCATCCCATCCCATCCCATCCTCATAGTTACTATCATACCTTTATTCAAGGAACTGAGTTTGGAAGACCTGAAATATTTCCCCATTTGAAAACTTAGCAGTTTGAGGGTATTTTTTTTTTTACTTTTGATCTTATATTTGTAACCATTTACTCTTTTGTACAGAGATTTGCAAGTCTCACCAGTATATAGAGCACTAGGGAATTGCTGAGAAATTGATTGCTCCACAGAGATTTTAATGTTGTGAGTGAAATTATAAGATCTTGGATTGGTGCTTTCCGTGAAGAAGTGAGAGTTGAATTGAGTCTGCATGCTATATATCCATATGACTATGACCTGAGCTATTGTGATTTAATACTAGTTTAGTAGTTTTTAGTATTAGGAAGTATGTGAAAAACACAAAGACTTCATATATCAAAACTGATGCAAAGATGAACATCCAACAACTGAACGAAGCTGTGCCCTGGGATCACGGGATACCCTTTTGCGACTTTCTGACAAGCAAAGTCAATGGGGAAATTCAGATTCATTTAACAACCATGTTACTAATTTAACAATTGCAGTGATTCACTTAACAAATGTGGCAAGAAAAATGGGACATGACTCACTTAACAAATGTCTCACTTAACAAGATAATTTTTTGGGCTCAATTGTGGTCATAAATTGAGGAGGACCTTTACAGTACTCCTCTATCTTCTTTCCATCTTTGTTTCATTTAATTTGCATCTGTTATTATCTGCCCATTGCTATCTTTTAGAACTTTTATGCAAGTTCTGAATTCAGAGATCTTTTGAAAGGGTTTCCTTCTTTTTTTCTATGCCAGTTCCCCTCTCCAGTGATTTGATAGACGTCATACTGCTTGCCTCTTCTGAGAGCTCTCTGAAACTCTCTGAAAAGTTCCTTACGGGGTCTTTTTCTCTCTCTTGGCTTTGGCCTCTCTCTCACTTGTTCTCGGCAATTTCTAGGGTTTGTTTTGACATTCAGTTTGCTTTCTTCTGCTTCTTCATTTCCAGCAGTCTCTTTTCACATGACTTCCGAATGACTTCTTTAAGTTCATCCCACGGTTCCTCTGGCTTCCTATCAATGAGATTCAGAATTTCAAAGCGACTCTTGATGTTCTCCTTGAAAGTGATATAAGGTGTAAGATCACATGTGGAAACTGCTTGGTTTTCTTCTTCTTTAGATTTAGTGTGTGTGTGTAACTCGTACACGAGCAGTCTGTGATGTGTTAGACCCGTGATGGCAAACCTATGGCATCCGTGCCACAGGTAGCACATGGAGCCCTCTCTGTGGGCACGCGAGCTGTTCCCACAGCTCAGCCCCACTGCACATGCACGCACATCTCCCGCTGGCCAGCTGATTTTTGGGTCTGTGGTGTATGTACGAGGGGTGGGGCGCATGTGGGAGATGCATGCACATGCATGGGGGGTCACATGCACATAGGGTCATGCACACATGCAGGGGAGCGGGGGGGTGCATCATGTCCCTCCTGTGGCTCATTTTTGGTCCCAGGAGGCTTCAGGGAGGCTTGGTAGGCCCAAAACGGGACGTGGGGAGTCGTGCAGGGGGAACACTTGGGGTCACACGCATGTGCAATGGGGGGGGGGTTGCGGAGGGTGTCACGCAAAAGAAATCATTTGTGTAGCAGAAATTAATAAAAGTCTGTATAGATTCTCCGTCATCCAGGCCATGGTTGTCCCAAAGGTAGAACAGTAGAAGCCATTTTAAGGCACAACAGGCTGTATCTTAACAGAACACATCCTCCGAGGGGTTTGTGGGGCGTCTTACCCCCACAGTATTTGTTTCCAAAGAGTAAGTCATCTGTGTACCAAGTTTGGTTGAAATTGCTCACGGTGTTCTAGAGTTATGCTGGAAAACACACACACACACACACACCCCACACACGTTTTTATATAGACAGATAATACTGAATGTGCATTGAGTCAATATTCAGTTGTTATTTAGGGTAGATCTTGAAATTTTCTATTTTAATGTATCTCCGTGATTTTACTGGATCTGCTTTACATCCGATCAGATTCATCGCATTGCATATATAAGCAACTTTGAATTAATAGAAGGATCCTCCTCATTGTTTTTATGGTTTCCAATAACGCAGTGTTTCTATTCAGAGTTTACTAGGAAGTTCTAATATTGTTATGTATCTATCATTTTACATAAAAGCTTTACCCTGTTACTGTTCTTAAATGGGGAATTTATAAGACGGGGGCAAAGAGATCAGGACAGATGGAAAGCAAAGCTATAATTAGTGTCTATCATGCTGATAATCCCTGCTATTGTATCTGTCATTTGAACTGTCTCTCCTAAATTTGAATTTTGTAGCAGCTCTACATAAAAAAAACAATCCCTTGCTCATTGAACAGATCTGTCAAGCTGCTAAACCTCCCCGTTAGCCTTCGACCGCAGAAAATGAAAAGCCTGCTAGGTCAGAACATGGCAACGAAAAGTCCCTTTATATATTCGCCAATCATCGCTCACAATCATGGAGAGGAGCAAAGCAAAAAAATAGGTGAGAACCTCATTATCTTTTTTAACTTGCATTCTTATTTTTACATGCAGTATCTCACTGGGAATTGTTTTCTGGCTTTTATGCTGCAAATTGACCCAAATCGTGATTGCCGATTTTTGGATCAATATGCTATTTCCTCTTCTTGATTATAAAATTGACAGCTTGACAAAGACGTATCCACCTTTGTTTGTAGGTATGTGTTGGCACACGAACCTTGATTTACAATACGTAGTGGAAGAATTATAGATTGACTGTAAGAATGTCTTCATAAAAATGTGTCCTTTAGATATTTTTAGAAATGTATTATTGAGACCTTTCGAACAAATTGGTCCTACATTGGTCCTAGATTACTGAAATAAATTAAGATGATTTCTAGCCTATTTATACCAAGGCAAATTGGTGCACAGTGGCTGTTGTGTCTTGCCCAATTATCGAAATGCAGATGATGATCAAACCTCATCTCCAAATTCTGCCATTTCTTACCAACCTGCCCTGTCTTGTTTTCCATAGAAATGCTTTTAACCACTTTGTAATTGAAATACCTGCTGATTGGGAAACAGGGAAACTTCCTTTTCTATCATGCTTCCCAAAATATTCCCAAAATGTGCACACACACACACACAAAATGTATCTCATTATACTTTAGATGAATTCATAGAGAGATCTGCTGAATTGTTGGTGATCTCTGAGCTTGCTTTATTTTTTGCAGAGCTTTTAGCAGGTTATGTAAAATTATTCATGCTTGAGACAGTTAAGTTTTGCTGTCCGGTAATATGATTTTTCTCTTTGTTCCCATCCAGGTTTATTTTACATTTGTGTTTCTTTTGTGTATGTGTGTGTGGTTTTTTTGTGTTGTTTACTTTTTAAATGTTTCTAACAATTTGTAAACAGCTGGTAGTTGGGCAGCATATGCATTTAATAAATTACTATTATTATTATTATCACTGATGAAGTTGTATGTCAAATGCTTATTTGCTATCTTGCCTTCATTTTAATGGTAGCAATGGTAGTTGAGTTCTAGTTTCTCAAAATCCATAGGCAACTTGAGTGGCTGATATTAGCCTAGGTCAAACATTATAGTACAGAAGTATTTATTAATTTTCTGCAGTGATTTCAATATTATATAACTCTCTTCTGGTATTAATATGAAATTAGATTTGTTTTCAGTTATTTATATTTATTTATTGGAAGACCGCATCTTGCTCACAGAGTGAATCTGGACGATGTACAATTAAAAGACTTATTCATAGTTTACTGCTGAATTCTATCCCTAAAATAGTTTTTAATGTGTTTATTCAAATGAGACACAGTCAAAACACAAATGTAGTAAGTTGGTCCATTTCAAAGAAGCAGAACTAAGATTTCCCCACTTGTTCTTAAGTTACAACTGCAGTAAAGGAAGACTAAAGCATACATGGGGAATTAGGCATATATTTTTTTTTGCAGTGGTTACCATTGCTTTATTTCAATGTGGCCCTCGCAAAGGTTCCCCTCACACATATGTGCTAGTCGTTCCCAATTCTAGGGGGCGGAGCTCATCTCCGTTTCAAAGCTGAAGAGCCAGCGCTGTCCAAAGATGCCTCCGTGGTCATGTGGCCAGCATGACTAAACACCAAAGGCACATGGAACGCCCTTACTTTCCCACTAAAGGTGGCTCCTACTTTTCTACTTGCTTTTTTACATGCTTTCGAACTGCTAGGTTGGCAGAAGCTGGGACAAGTAATGGGAGCTCACTCCGTTACATGGCGCTAGGGATTCGAACTGCCAAACTGCCGACCTTTCTGATCGACAAGCTCAGTGTCTTAGCCACTGAGCCACCGCATGCCATATGCCATAGTGAAAGATATATAGTGAAGGATACACACACACACACACACACACACACACACACACACACACACACACACGTTTTCCCAAAAATAAGACTGGGACTTATTTTCTTTTGGGTCCCAAAATAAGTCCTAATGCTTATTTTTGGGAGGGGGGGGTGTCTAATTTTTTCCCCATGTACGGGAGGCCCACTTCTGCTGGAGCTGTGCCACGTGCCCTACATCGGCTTATCTCAGGGCCCCTGCAGCCAGGCCACCCATGCCCCAAAACCAGCCTTGCCTCGTGGCCATAGCACCAGCAAGACCTTTTGACAAGCAAAGTCAACTTATCAACTGCCGTGGTTCACTTAACAACTGTGGCAATAAAGATAGTAAAATGGGGCAAAGCTCACTTAACGAATGTCTCACTTAATAACATAAATTTTGGGCTCAATTGTGGTCGAACGTTGAGGACTACCTGTACTCTAAAGATGCTAGATGGCATAACATTCAAATGAATGGCCTTTTCTAGGCTAGATAACAGGTATGCATTAATGTGTTTTCATAATGTATCTCTAGTGTGTAAAGTGTGAACAAAACTCACGCTTACCGTACACCATGGATGATTTAGGCCATATGCTGTTTATGCTATTATCATTTATTTATTTATTGGCAGAAGTTTGCTGAAGTGAGAGCAGGCCCAAAATAGTTACAAGTACATAGAATGCATTTATTACTACATTAACCAGAAATCTGCACATTAACAAAACAAACACATTTTCGGTTTCGTATAAAATAAAATTTAAATGTTAAAAGTTTTTTTTTTAAATTAAACCTTAAAATGTAACTGGATAATTGAGACAATCAAAACATGTTGTTTTACAAAAAGTATAAAAACATCGTGCCGTTATCAAGAAAATGGAATTATGTTGATTGCGATTGTACATAAAATAAATGAGAATTATGTGGATGCTTCAATAAATAGGGAGTTATGAGGCAGGCCTTTATGTCTATAAGTGGAACAGTATGACAATATAGGCTGTGTATTCAATTGAGCCTTTTCCACAAGAACACACAGTGTCTAAGGAAGTTTTTAATACTTGCCCTTAAGGACAGCGGTGAAAAAAATCTTATATCAGTGGTCCCCAACCTTTCCGCGGACTAGCAGTGATGGCAGGGGTGGGTGGTGGCAGCAGTGGGAGGAGAGCACAGTTTCTTGTGTACAACCTAATTTTGTGCATGCACAAATGGAGCTTTGGGCGCTTGCCCACTGCCTGTGTAGCCCAATACCAGTCTGCGGAGCAGGTGTTGGGAGCCCTTGTTGGAATCTTATATGACAATCTATAGCCCAGTGTTTCTCAACCTTGGCAACTTGAAGATGTCTGGACTTCAACTCCCAGAATTCCCCAGCCAGCATTCGCTGGCTGGGGAATTCTGGGAGT